AAAAAAAATACAAAATTAGCCAAGCCTGATCGCGGGCACCTGTCATCTCAGCTACTCGGGAGGCTGAGGCAGGAGAATCGCTTGAACCCGGGAGGCGGAGGTTGCAGTGAGCTGAGATCGCACCACTGCACTCCAGCCTGGGGGACAGGCTGGTCACCCACAGTGAGCTCTCTTCCCCCATCTCCCCCGCCAGGAAAGCAATGAAGACAACAGTGACTACAGCCTGGTGGTGGACGAGGTGAGTGCCGGCGGTCAGCCTCTCCCCCCACGCTGGGCACGGAGGAAGCATGGGTTATCTGGAATGGGTGGACACAGAGGTAGCGAGGATCCCGGTTCTCCTCTCCGTGGGGTGGCTGGGATGGGGACAGCATGGGGCCGGGAAGAGCCGGGGACTCTGGGACACCTCTGGCCGACCTCCTGTCCATTGCACACGGCGTGGCTTCAAGCCCCGCCTCACCGAGTGGTTTGGGGGGAGTGACACCCCTTCCCCGGCCTCACTTTTCTCATCTGTTCAATGAGAAAATAAAACCAGGCTGGGCGCGGTGGCTCATGCCTGTAATCTCAGTACTTGGGGAGGCCGAGGCAGGCGGATCACCTGAGGTCAGATGTTTGAGACCAGCCTGGCCAACGTGGAGAAACCCCGCCTCTACAAGAAATACAAAATTAGCCTGGCGTGGTGGCGGATGCCTGTAATCCCAGCTACTCGGGAGGCTGAGGCGGGAGAATCACTTTAACTCGGGAGGCGGAGGTCACGGTGAGCTGGGATCGTGCCACACTGCACTCCAGCCTGGGCAAGGAGAGCAAAAGTCCATCTCAAAGAAATAAAAGAAAACCTAGTTCTTATATAGCCCTTGCTATGGGTGCTTATGGAGTCAGACACATCATTAAACCCATTTTACAGGCCAGGTGCGGTGACTCACACCTGTAATCCCAGTACTTTGGGAGGCTGAGGCAGATGGATCCCTTGAGGTCAGGAGTTTGAGACCAACCTGACCAACATGGTGAAACCCTGTCTCCACTAAAAATTACAAAAAATTAGCTGGATGTGCTCACTTGAACCCAAGAGGCGGAGGTTGCAGTGAGCCACTGTACTCCAGCCTGGGTGACACAGCAAGACTTAAAAAAAAAAAATTCATTTTACAGATGAGTAAACTGAGGCAACAGAGGGTTTCGTAATCTTCCCATAGTGGGTCATGAGTACCCAGTCTGGAAGCTGGAGCAGGGGAGTTGGGAGGAGGATAGAGAGGGACTCTTCTTTCCCTCTCATTTCAACTCCACTCAATGTCGCCTCCTCGAACCCAGGACCAACCCTCGGAGCCCCCCAGCCCGGCTACCACCCCCTGCGGAAAGGCACCCATCTGCATTCCTGCCCATCGGGATCTGGTGGATAGTCCAGCCTCCTTGGCCTCAAGCCTCGGCTCACCGCTCCCCAGAGCCAAGGAGCTCATCCTGGTAAGGAGGAGGAGAGGGCCTTGAAACTCACTTTATAAATCCTGGGGGCCTTGAAACAGACACTATGTCATGACACAGAGACCAATGATGAGAAATCAGCTAGGCTGGGGTTGTCTACCCTCTCCTTGTGTGTGTGTTTTTATTTATTTATTTTTATTTTTATTTTTTGGGGGGACGGAGTTTCGCTCTTGTTACCCAGGCTGGAGTGCAATGGCGCGATCTCGGCTCACCGCAACCTCCGCCTCCTGGGTTCAGGCAATTCTCCTGCCTCAGCCTCCTGAGTCGC